TTTATAAAAGTATAGTTGAACATTGATTTAGTTAGAAATTGGTTGTTAATTCTCAACTATTCATTATATTCAATAATAGTTGTTATGTTTCATTTTAATCTCTCAAATTGATAAATTTTTGTAACTCAAGAAATTTTGCTTTTTATGATAAGGTTTGTTTTAGTTTTTTTGTTTTCTAGATACAAAGTTATATATTTTTCATAAATTTACACTTTGTCATTATAACATCCCACAAACTCAATAATTCCTTAATTTAAATTATACACGATTCAACGATTAAGTATAGCATCATGTTCTAAATATAATATTACATTTTCAAAGAATAAGTATGTAGTGAAAGACAATTAAAAAAGTTGAAGTTTAACATTCAAGTGATATTAAAATTTTCAAAAGTACATATTTAAAAAAAAAACTAAATTTAATTTTTATTTAAATGTCTTCTATGACTCTTCTTCTATTCTCGAACTACTTCACTCACTTGTAAGTTTTTTTTCTCATATATTCACAAACAATCATCAGAATACACAAAAGCAGGGTGAATTAATTTATAAATTTTCATATTTAACATAAAAATATTAAATAGCATACAAAATTATGTGTGAAAAACAAACTTAAATGTTTATAAACTTACTTAGAATAACTAGTCAATATGCATAGTGACGGTTGACTTATCCAAAACTCAATTTTCTTTTCTTCAACTTTATTCATAACTTAATTCTCAAAATTCACATAGACTACTTCATGTTTCACAAACCTTCACATTTACAAATTAAAGTTAGACATCTTAAACTATTAGAAAGTGGTTTTAAACCTAACTTAAACCTACAAAATCGGTTTGTAAGGTGATGTTTGTACATACTTATATATTATAATGTCCTTATCTCTAGTCGATGTGAGACTTTCAACACATCCCCTTCACATCGAGGTATAAACATCTCGAGCGTGAGAGTATAATTAATGGGCCCACATAGATCTCGCTAGGATAGGCTCTAAACATGGCTCTGATACCATATTAGAAAGTGGTTTTAAACCTAACTCAACCCCACAAAACTAGCTTGTAAGGTGAGGTTTACACTCCACTTATATATTATAATTTGGCCTTATCTTTAGTCCATGTGAGATTTCCAACATAAACATAAAGTTATTATGATCAAAATTAATTGAATCTAATTTTTATATATTATCAATTTATTACAATTCAACTTTCATGATTCTAATCTTCCCCATTTAAATTTTTAAGTATATGAATCAAAGGTAACATTTCAAATGTCTTCCATCCATCCCAATGACTCAGCCAATCCATAATCTCAACCAACAACCAAAACAAACGATCATGAGGCATTATACCATTTATTAAACTACATAACCAAGTTTAATGGCTAAAATAATTATCAATCCAATGCAATTCAAACAACACAAAAAATATATAATTATAGACTTCACTTCCAAAAAAACTAATTTATTGAATGAGCTTGTGAAACTCAGTACCTATCATGCTTATTTCTAATTCATTTTGTGGTGTTTCAATACTCAAGAGTAATGTTTCTAACTAAGCCATGACATGTTAAGCCCACTAGCTCTCTAACTATGACCATCTTTCATATTGTCATGTAAAGCCTAATTCAACTCACACCACCTAAATGTCATAAGTTAGACTCTACCCCGAAGTCTCCTTCAATATACGTTGACTCACCGTAGATTAACATTTTTCCTAGGAAATAGCTAGCATGACTCACTATTATCACGATTACAACATCAATATGTAAAAACAAAGTTATAATAACATAATAAGACTAAGAATTCATCATATCAAGACTATACTCAAGAATAACATTCAATTCTCATACTCACTGAGCAAAAACACATTTTTAATCATAACTTCCATCAATGTTGTTGTTCATTCTCATCAACATTCTACGTGGTTACAATACCCTAAAACTTTGTTTGATGAAAACATTAAATCATACATCACTTACCTTCTATTAAGTATAATAACTTAATAACACATGTACAAACTAGTTGAGGTTTTAAAAATAAAGTTACAGCTTCCAAAAAGTTCATAAAATTATGTTTTTACTTTCAAATTAAAGATAATTGAATTAAGAATGCAATACAAAAGAGAATCAACCCAATTAAAGATAATTTCAGCTCAATCTAACATTAACGAATCATAAATCAATTTTTCCTGAGATGACATGTTGGAAGTCCCACATCGACTAGAGATAAGGCCAAATTATAATATATAAGTAGTTGCAAACCTCACCATACAAGCCAGTTTTATGGGGTTGAGTTAGGCTTAAAGCCCACTTCTAATATGACACAAGACTGAAAAACCTAATTCATCCATAGGGAATATAGGCTTGCCTAGCTAGTAAAACAACTTACCCATCGACTTTGCATAATGCAAACCCCTAATTTTTGCAGTTTTGATCGCACCAAATATTAAAACACTCATTTTCATCCATCACACAACCCATAAATGCACCAAAAACACAATTTATACAAATTAATTCAACCAAAACACTAAAAGTTTCATGCGATTTTAGTCATATGCAACCAACAATATGATCAAACTGATACTAGCTCCCCTTGTCTCGATTTAGCTCTTATAACCACCCAACTTTCCTTCTTCCACATATATATTTGGGTGGTTCCTCTCCACACCAACAAAACCATATCAATGATGTGGACCTATCATTGTAATCAAAACATGCAAAATCAAAGAGAGAAATTGAGTCTCATGCACTCTTGCCAACATGCAAAACATCCAAAATTGTTGACCTAAAAAGAGAAAAAGAAAAACTTACTGTAACTAAAGTCTTTTTAGTTGGATTTATAGTGCTTTGCGCCACGAATGCAATGGTGATTCCTTGTCAATAATTTGGTGAAGGTGAAATAAAATAATAAAAAGAGATTGAAGAAAAAGTTTGAGAGGAGGTTTTTGCGTAAGTAAAAGAGGAGGAAATGTTGTTGGTGTTTTAAGAATTTTATAGTCATTAATTTTATTTTTTCAAATATTTGAAAATCTAAAATATCATGAAATTAATCATTAAAATCATATAAATTTAATGTTTATAAATCATATACCAATTGAAATATGGGATTTGAAAAAGAAAAAAACACAAACAGTCTTACAAATGAGTAAATACAACATTAACTATGTAAAACAATAACAACTTCATAACATTTTTGTCACTATTAAATTGTTGTTGAAGTTACTAGCCAAAAATGAAAGAAAGATGAACATGCCTATGGCTAGAGTAATTAAAATAGGTTTGGTCAAAACATCAGTTTTTGAGAAATCTTAAAATTGGTTAGGCTAGATAAAAAACATTGTGACCTAAGTGGAATGGTACCATTTTTTTCCCAGTCTATTTTGCCTGCTACTTATATATATTTAGATCAAGTTAACTAAAGACTATTTTATAAAATAATAATTACATTTTTTAAAGTATAAGTAATATTAATTTATATATATATATATATATATATTATAATTTATATATCAAATCATTATTTTAAAATTAATTTAATTAACATGACTTAAATAATAAAAAAACATATTTTATTTATTATTGTGAAAAATGTTTTTGTTGTCCTTATATAACGTCAAATTAAGTATATTTAAACGAAGTAGAATCAACCATTTGACACATTTACCAACAATAATAAACTCAACCAAGTGACCAATCTATAATTTTTTTGAACTATGCCACAACCTATATTTTTCAAATACGATTCACTTTTTTCTAACTTTTTTTTAACTTATATTAGAAAGATGAAAAATTGTGTGAAAATAAGGCTTAAGTGATAAGGTAAACATAATTTAAGACAATTAGTAATAGAATGACTAACTTGAAAAAAAAAATTAATAGGTTAAATGTCACTAAAATTCTATCAAAGAACCAACAAAATGAACAAAATAACTCTTCAATCAATTCATATATTTTTTTTATTAAGGATATGATATTATTGACTTTTATTTAAAAAAAAAATTAAATTATATGCACTATAAAAATTGGATGAAAAATAAGTCTTGCAAACGAGTAAAAAACAATAGGTATTATATTTTATATTTTTTCGGCTTCTCAATTAAACCCACTTTTTTCACATGCAACTTTTATCATATTTATCAACATTTATTTCTATTTGTATAAATATTTGTTGGGATTTTGTAGTTTTCTTACAAGTGAATTCAATGTAACAAGCTTCACGTCTCAAATAAATAAAAAAATAGTTTAAAATTATGTCCCAAATAAAAAAAATGATAATTAATTTAAAGCAATCAAACAGATCCAACTTTTAAAAAAATCAAACTAAAACAAAAAAAAGTATGAAAATATATATGTAACAGTTGAAAGGTGAGTAACACGAGAGTAGATTCAAATAAATAAAAATAAAATAAGTTCATTAGCAAAATTAATTTATACACTGTCTAAAAATTATAATATAAATAAATCATTTAAAAATTGTCTTCATATAAATTTACGGATAAGTTCTAGAAAAATAATTTTCTTTCTCTTTTACAAGTTATTGAGGAGAAACTCGATTAAAATCGATCTAAACTTTCCCAAATAATAAAAAATGCAAATTTGTACATTAAAACACATTTGATTGAAAGTGACAGGATTAAGTGAAGTTTACGATTCTTTTAAATCCACTTAAATTTAATTCGATTGGGTTTATATTTTTTATTTAACAAATTAACTCAATTATAATTAATTAAGTTGAACAATTAAAAAAAATATTCGTTTGTAAGAAAAATACCTTAGAATAAATATTTCAATATTTTTAATAATTGTGAAACAAAAATAATATTATATATAAATAAAATTTATAACAATTAATAAATAAATAAGTTCGTTAGGTTTGAAATTATCTGACTTATTATTCAACATTATTTTAATTGAATACGACAAATAAATTTAACCCGATTGAACTTGGTGGGTCAACGGGTTGTTTGAAACCGCCCCAAAGACATACAGATATAGCGTGTAAATGTTTGATTCAATTCAGAAATCTCGCAATAACAATAACAGTTGGAAGCTGTTGGAAGAGACGAAATTCAAGCGAAAAGCATTGGTATGGCTACCTCGCTGTGTACACCGACCTACAGTCTCAATCTCAATTTCTACACTGCACAGTCCCACAAATTAAAAGCAAAGTCCTCTGTTCATTATAGGCCTCGTTTTGGCACCGTCACAAGAATCTGTTGCGCTTCTAATAATTTCAACGATGACGATTACAATAAACAGCAACGACCTCAATCCGAAGCTATTCAAGTTTACGGTCAAATCGAGAGGTTCTTTCCGTTTACCTTAAAATTAGCTTTGGTGTTTTTCTCTGCATGCTTACTGATGGAAGAGATTCAATCTGAATTTTGTTATGCTACCTTAGATTCAATGTTATATACTCATCAGGGATTAATTTTTAAGGTTTAAACATATATAATTTAATAAAGAAGTATCAATCTTGTGTCTGTTATTAAAGTATTACAAAATCAGTCTCCCTGGAAGATGTAAAATGTTGTAGATTTCATTACCCTGGTATATTTTTAATTTAGTCTGTCAAGGATGGATTTAAAATAGTTATATATATATATATATAACAATGACCGAATTAAGAACATGCAAGGGAGTGATGATGACAATTGATAACTTTTTACATGACTGATTTAATAAGCTTCTACTTGCAGGTACTAAGTTAAAGAGACAAAATCATATATGTCTAACCAAATTTTAATTTATGCATAGAAAAAAAAATGTTTGTGATAGAGAATACATTTAGTTTGCACAAAAAGAAAAATCTAAGGAATATTTGGTTTTGAGAAAATGTTGTGTTTTTAATCTTCTTAGTGAAAAGGCTTAATAGGTTTTTCGGTCATAATATTTGAGGCGTCTATTAAATGTTATTTTTCAATTTTTTTTCAGCAATTCAATGTCCATCTTATTTTAAAAGGAGTCAACATGGTTTCTTCTGTTAAATTAGTGTTAATATGGTTTAAAAGGCGATCACATGTGAGTAATTCTAGATTTCTCCAACTCTTCACTCTCTTAGTATCTAATCCGGACTCTGTTTCTAATATGGAGGCTGACAAATAATTAATTCACTGTTTCCTGTAGAAGTCTTTTGGAAAAATGGAAATAAGTGAAAATTGATATTTCTGTAATTAAAAGTGAAAACCAAAGATTAAACCAGAAACTGTTTTTCTCAAATTAAGGGTTTTCACTTTTAGTTTTTAAAACTGTTAGATTTTTTTCAAACTTCAAATATCTGTGTTGAATAGTCTCTTTAGGCAAAAACTGAAGTAAACAACCCTAGATATCCTTAAACTGTCAATTTTGGTATGAAAGACTGTAGTTTGTAATCGTACTACAACTCATGCGTTTATTTTCTTTCTTAGCAGATTACTTACAGATTCTGTTAGACAATCACAGGATGGTTGGTGGGGTTCCCGAGACTGGAGTGAAGTTGAGGTATATACTCTATTGTATGATAATGACAAGTTTTTCCAAATTCTTCATCATACAGTAAAAATTTTATTCATGTTAGGCAGATTGTCATTCTGTAGTATGTTTGGTATTGGCTTAAGTTATTTTGAACAAGGTTATATCCCTTTTCTGAGGGATTTATACAGATGATTCTTTATTTATTTATAGAGAAGAAGTTGCTGAATGCAACTTAGAGAAGAAAGTTATATCATTAATATATATGGGAAGAATCTGAGTTCTTAAAACGTGATTCTAGAATGGTCAATCAGTTTTTATTCTACAATCACCTCTGAGCGTGAGTGACTCTATATCTCAGTTTTTCTAAAATACAAAATACAGCAATGTGGGTTTTGCTTCACACATGCACATTGGAAAGAACAATTACACCGCCCTTTGTTTTGGAGTCTTTCTCAGTCTACTTTGTCATACTCATTTTATAATTTCAGGGAGCTTGGATTCTTAAACCTAAAAACACCAGACCCAATTTCGTAGTACATTTTATTGGAGGTATATTTGTTGGAGCTGCCCCTCAGCTTACCTACCGATGGTTTCTTGAGCGTCTTTCAGAAAAGTAAGTCCCTCTGTTCTGTTCCCAAAATCCCGAGTTACATTCTTGTACCAGAATTTGTTTATGAAGTGTAAACGGTGTCAAATTTTTTATTTAGTTTTTCCTTCTAGATAATTTATGTTAGCGTGGATCCTTTTGGTTGTTTTGTTCTAAATCCCTGACAAACTCTTATAGTTCAATGAAATATACTACATCTCTGGATCATTTTGAGACTCATAAATCTATGATCTGCCGATGGAAAAAACTAATAGTAAAACCCTTTCTGTTGCTAGGGGTATATTGATCATAGCAACTCCGTATGCTAGTGGGTTTGATCACTTCCTCATTGCAGATGAAGTACAGTTCAAATTTGATAGGTGTTATCGCGCACTGCAAGAAACAGTAAGTTTCAACTTGTGATCTAAGGGCTAGTTTCTCTCTGTTTTCAATTATCTTTTTTAAATGAAAATGTTAAATGATACTCATTTATTCAGATCCAAGACCTTCCTATTTTTGGTGTTGGTCATTCTTTGGGATCAGTGGTCCATCTTCTGATTGGTATTTTAAAGTTCTTCTGCTAAACTTGATTGTACACATTACATTGATTTGATTAATAGATAATCAATAAATTAATTATTTTATCAGGATCAAGATATGCAGTGCAAAGATCTGGAAATGTTCTCATGGCATTCAATAACAAGGTATGCCATCCAGAAAGTAAATTATATATAATCCTATGTAAGAATTTTCCGTAGTTGATGATGATTGACTAAATTTTACTTCACCTTTGCAGGAAGCAAGTTCGGCTGTTCCTTTGTTCTCTCCGGTGCTCGTCCCAATGGCACAAACCTTTGGTCCACTTCTATCAGATATTTTTTCTTCACCAACTCTGCGAGTTGGGGTCAGTATTGCTTTATAACTATCTTACTTCAAAATGGAGGAAGACATCTATTAATATTTTGTAGTAGAAATATCAACAACTTCGGTTGTGGTATGTGAAATATAATTTGGTTCCTTTCCAAATTAGTACCATATTATGACAACGATCTTCCCTTAGGATTGTTGAGAAAAGAATTGGTAAGACAGTTTTGTCCAATATAGACAAATTCTTACTTCTATCATTATGTGGTCTGTTTTTTTGGTTGTATAATTGGTTAGACTTAATAGACATATAGAAAAGCTTATTATTTACGCTCAGAAGTGGCTTATTACCTTCCTGTAGAAATTTCATAGTTTAGCTGATGAATAAGCTTTTATTTAATAAGAGTTTATCGAATAAGTGTTTTACTAATTTTGTTCACCCAAATAATGTTTTTTAAGTCAAACTCTTAGGCACCTCACTCAAGATGTTCTTAGTTATGTGAAAGACAAATCAGCAACTTCAAATAAAAAAGTACTTTTTAAGAAATTAAATATTTATTTCTTGGCATGAAACATTATTGCATCTCTCACAATTGCTTTTTCACACAAAATGCTTTTGAAAGGGAAATGTGGGAATTTGGAAAATCCAACTGAAGAGTTTCATCAATGAATTAAAAGTTGAACTTTAGGATATCTAAAGGGAGGTTGTTGCTATATGATATTAATAGCTAAGGGAGTCAAGTGCCATACGAGACCAAGTCCCGAGAGAGCTTTCTGTAATTTCCCTTAAGTACAACTTCTGCATAGCAGTGATTGCATAATGGAATTTAACAATGCTTTATGGTTAGGGAGGTTGTTACTGTTAGCCAGTAGTCAACTACAATTTTTGAAAAAAAAAAAAAAACGAAATCCTTGGCACGGTATTCGTTTTACTTTTAGGATGGCTAATCTTAGATAATTGCAGGCAGAGATGACTTTGAAACAACTGGAAAACGTTAGCCCACCCATTATGAAGCAAGTTCTTCCTTTAGTTGAGCAGCTCCCTCCCTTGTACATGGATTTGGTTAAGGGAAGAGAAGAATTTTCTCCAAAGCCTGAGGAGACACGTCGACTTGTATGTGACATCTCATATTTCTAATATTTTCAGCAATGAGTATATATATTTTTGTTTAGAATAGTTAGAATTAGAATATTCCGCTTGCGTAATATTATTTCTAATATTGCAACTATTTTCTTAACTGCATCAAATTCTTAGGTTACAGAATTTATAGATCGTATTCATTTCATGTTTTAGGTAGTCACTCTTTAGAAGACAAATTTAACTGAATGCCATTTTAGGGTGTAGGTTCTTTATATTTATTGCACAATCCTACAGGCTACGGTTATTCTCATATTACATCTTATTTATGATAAAAGGGGAGGGGGATGTTATAACATGCAAACCGGAGATTGTACGAGGTATTGGCAAACAATTTGATGCTCATATAAACATAATTATTCAACTCCAGTTCAATTTTTATCACTGATAATAAGCGTGTAGCGTACTAAAATTAGGGTTCAGAATCAAAACCTGTTTATTGACATTTCCTGTAATTTCTCAATGCAGCAACTTTTCATTTTAAATTTTGCTTGAGTTTCTTCTTGGTTTGCATTTAATTTCTTCATCAAATATTTTCTGATTTCTCAGATAAAATCATACTATGGCATATCCAGAAATCTGCTGATAAAATTCAAGGATGATTTAATAGATGAGACTTCAACTCTAGCTCAGGTGCTTAGTTCAGAATCAGCCATTAGCTCAGCGCTTGACATGTCAATACGCAAGTTGGCTGGAGATCATGGACTTCCATTACAACAGGTAGGTCTAGCAAAAATAACTTCATTTCTCTCAAAGATGTCATTATCCATAATTTTTATTATAAACCTTGCAGGCCCTACCAGATGTTCCACCAGCAATGGCGGATGCAGTTAATCGTGGAAGCGAACTTTTGTCGAATCTTGCAGTAGGAACTCCATGGGAGACAGTTGCCAAAGAAGTGGGGAACTCGCTAGGCATGGATTCGAGAGTCCTACGTGCAGAAGTATCAAAGGACATGGATATGCTTGTGGATGTGATTGCAACCTGGATAGCCTCTAATGCAGGACCTAAACTTCTTAGGCCATAAACTTATAGCAAATGTAAACACATGTGCTGTAGAAATGTATAGTGAAGTCTATGGGCACGGACATTACAAGTAAGCAAATTGAACTCTGCCAATCACCCTGTGCTGTAAAAATCATAACTTGCATTTTTACAAAACCTGTTGTTTATACCGACGTTCAAAAGTAAATTATAATTGTCCGTAAACTGTTTTTCTAATTTACAGTGTTAAATAAAGTATTGAAAAAAAGAAAAAATAATGTTAAAAATGATAAATTTCAGTGTTTATAATATATTAAAATTTAAACAAAAATTATAAAAGTAAATTAAAACAAAAATTATAATAGTAAATTACGTGTAATTATTGATAAGTGTGAAAAAAAGTTGTTTTTACACTTATAAATGATCTCAATCTTCTCATTTTTCATGTTATTACTCAGTGAAATGTTGTAATAGGAAGTAGATTGTGTTGTAAATTATTATACAGGAAAGATGTATAATTGGGAGTTTGTCAGCCAATTCTCGTATAGCGCAAGCTTCAATTCGCATTGTCAGAAAAAGCAAATTTGCATAGCGCACCAATACATGTGCGCTGTGCGAATAACATTAGTTGAGAGGCAGCAGTTACACGAAATTCGCATAGTGCACACACACCCCGGTGCGCTGAGCGAATTATTGAAGTTATGTGGTTTTAAAAGACGTGAAGTTATGTGGTTTTAAAAGACGTGACAGAAAAGAAAAACTATCTTCTGACACACGAAAATAGCCAGAGAATTCAGGAGACGATCAGGAGACCTGTCAAGACATCAAGACTTCACCTTATGCAAGAAATTGCTGTAAAGAGTACGTTTGAAATGTCTAGGATAGGCTAAATTTTCTGTTCATTGGAATTGGTTGTATGACGAAACATTAATGTAAAATTCTTGTGCAATATATGTTTTTGTTCATGTTATTTTCTTGACTTGCTTTTGATTATACGGAAGTATTAATTTCTTTAAAAGTTCTTTTGTACTGGAAAGTATTTTTAGAACCAGAAACCTAAGAAAAGAAACTAAAAAGTAAATTACCTAGGAACATCTTCTGTGCTTTTGGTTATTCTCACATCTGAACTTAATGCAAAATTATCTGATGAATTAATTAAGGAATTAATAATTCAATAGATAATTTTAGAACTTGTTTTAAGGAATTGAACCAAGATACTCTCGTGTAAATGCTTGAACAGGTAATATATGTTGTCCAGGATCTTACTCTAATGTTAGTCAAAGACCAATTCCAGTGATCTTTTATCGCATTTTTCAATCTTATTTTTTTTTCGTTGTTAATTTCATGCTTAAATCCAAATTGAAATCACAAATATCATCACTAATTGATCTTAATAAATAATTTTAATTGATTAACGTAACTCAAATTCCCTTGGAAAAACGATACATCTTTACTTATCCACTGTATTACTTGGAACGAGTATACTTGCCAAAAAGTTATCAATTATCTTACTTATATTAAATAAAAAGTGTATAATTATCTTATCTTATCTTACTTGAATTATGTGAATAAAATTAACCTAATTATCTTAATTTAAAATATTTTTTTATTGTTTTAATTATCTTAATTAGTACTTTTAACATTAGATTAACTATAATTAATAGTAAAGACTAAACAAGTCAGTTAAAGTCACAAAAAGTGGAATTTGACAACCTATCACAAGGATTCATGGTTTTACTCTGTTATTTTAAATGAAATATTAACTCATTAAAATCAGCATCATTGGACTAACACGTGCTGAAACTGTGAGATAAACTTGCAACATTTCTTCCTAAATATTACATGCAATATAGCTATTGAGCATAAAAAGAATACACGACATTAGTTTACGTAAGACAAAAAAAAAAGAACACAAGTTAATGATGTCTTCCTTTGAGAACGAAGAAGGATAAAAAAAAGGAAGAATAAATGATGTCTGACAAAAATATGTATACTACAGCCACTATTTGGGTTCAACTTTTGTTGAAAGTGTGTAGCCTCCGCTGTAGTCAAAGGCACTATTACTACTGTCATTACCATTGTCTTTCTTGGTAAAAGAAGCATCAATGTAGGGATGCCTCATTCCACCCTTGGAAACACCAAAGTCAGTGGCAGATGAGGATGCAGAAGTAGAGTTTGTGTTCATCCCATCATTCTGCAAAATGGTTTCAAGTGCTTTCACAACTTCACTCATTGTTGGACGGTCTGCAGCTGATTCCTCAACACATTGCATTGTCAACTCTAAGAACCTCCCAAATCCTATGAGGTTCGGCGTGTTCCTCACCACTGGATCCATCACTTCCCTCAAACCATAGTGTTCTTCATCTTTCTTATTCATCAGCGTGCGCACCTCGCGGACAATGTACTTGCCCTTCTCAATTGGTTGTCTTGAAGTTATTAGTTCAAGCATCACTACTCCAAAACTGTACACATCACTCTTCTCAGTGAGTTGTTGGGTCATGTAATACTCAGGATCAAGATAACCCTGCACATGTTGAGCATTTTCACCTATCAAGCACTTGTTGCAGAAAAGAAAAGAGTGAAATGAAAGACACAGCTACGGAGATTTTGCACTGGACAACTTGCATTTTTCTTGTGCGGGGAAATATGTTAGACTTATAATATCTGTTTATTTGTTTCATGAGATGCATCATTTACCATAATTTAAAGCTTGTGGCGAAGTTGAACAATTAAACTAAATAGAATTGGAACGTTTTACATCAGGCATATTTGATTGTATAAAATGCACGGTTCTTAACTTAAACAGGAACAAAGATCTAAGCCATAAAAGAAAAGATACTTTATTGCTTACCAATGTCCCTTTAACCTGAGTGGAAACATGGCCTTTCTCGCTGTCTGATACAAGTTTGGACAAGCCAAAATCTGCAACCTTTGCAGTCAAATTTTCATCCAGCAAGATATTACTCGACTTCACATCTCTGTGGATTATGGGAGGATTGGCAAGTTCGTGTAAGTATGCAAGTCCTCTGGCTGAACCAAGAGCAATGCGGAGTCTCCTTTTCCAGTCAAGATGAATATCAGATCTCCCTGCAACTCACATTGATTTTTTAAGGTACTGTATTAATTATTTTCTTAGTTATGTAAAAAGTTGCACAGAAACATGTGCACAACTTTGATATTTCTGTTCTATGAAAGGTTTTTTCTTTACCAAAAAAGTCAATCCACTAAACTGAATGTTAACAATGCTCTTCCTACAGATGATAAGTTTGGTGCTTGAATGTTGTTATCATGCGAGTTACCTGACAAACTCTCCCTAAGTGTTCCATTGGGTATAAATTCGTAAACCAACATCTGTTCCCCTTGTTCGAAGCAGAACCCCACAAGGCCAACAAGGTTCTTGTGGTGAACTCTTGAAAGCAACTCAATTTCAGTCTTGAACTCTAGGCCTCCTTGCATCGATCCTTGCTGAGCTCGTTTGATTGCAACGATTTTCCCATCAGGAAGAACACCTTTGTACACCTTTAGTCAATAAAAAGGGAATAATTAAGCAGTTACAAGAACTTAGAAACATGTGAAAACATAAGAAACAATACCTTGCCATAGCCTCCAGAGCCTATCTCATTGTTTTCAGAGAAATTGCTGGTGCACTTCTTGAGATCATCATAAGAGAACCATCTTGCTCCCTTTAACTGTGGTGCACCTCCACTATCCTTCCCAGTTGGTGCCCATGATGCTGAAAGAAATTAATGAAAGTGGATAAGCAAAGTTGATGATAGCTTTCCAAGTTTGGAGGATTTGTAAAATCTGATTTGTGATAACAAGAAAATGAGTACATTGAATAATTACCAAATGGTCTACTTAATCCTATGGCTCTCTCTGCACGCTTCTTTTGCAGAATCGCGTAAATAGCTAACCCTATAAGACTCAGAACCAGAAATGTGCTGCCAACTGCTATCCCAATAATAACCCCTTTGCTAAGAGAAGCTCCTTTGTGAGAACCTGAAATAATTTACAGTTAGTTATAAATCACTGTCACCAGTTGAATATTGAAATATGAACTGTTTCTGAGTTACCTGAAAAGGGATAAGAAAATGCAAGGAAGTAATAGGGTCCAAACTCTTTTGGAGGCTTGTAAGTTTGATTACTTAATTCAAACCCAATTCTTTGAATTTCTGACCTATTAAAGTATTGCCCTGTTGGTGGAAAAAGTGCTAGTTGCACTTGAAGATAGTCATTACTATCAAAGAAGGGATTTTGTAAAGAAACTGAGCCAGGAGTTAGACCCAATTTCACCCATAGGCTCATTTCAAGTGAATGGAAAGTATTTACATTGGACAGTTCTCTGAATGTGGGTGCTCTAAAGTACAGCATTCCTTCATATGGATAGGCACATTCACAACTTTGGGGGCTGAGCTTTTGATCAGGAGGACAAGATTTGCCTCCACAATTAGCCAAGCTGGTGAAATAAGGTTGCTTGGCCTGCTGCTGAAGTTGGCAGTAATTTGTATTTGAGAGAGCACTACTGCACACTGGATTTCCTATTAGACTGAAAAAAAAAATGAGAAAGACATCAGAAAAGGAGAGGCCTTACAAATGAAAGAGCATACAAAATCCTAAAAAGTATCTCCAACATTAAAGACTAAAAACTTTCTCACATCAATGTATTTTTGTATTGTGAACTGAGAGTCACCGAGGAAATCTCATTTTGTTGCAAATCTACAAGCTGCAATTGAGGACAAATGTTTTCACCCATGTTCAGTGTATCGTTCAATTGATTGTTTCGTAGTTTCCTGTACAAAAAATGAAAATTATAATGATTGTCATTCTATTGTCTGTATAACTACTAATGTTCAACATAGTAGTGAGAGACTTACACTTGCTGTATTTGAGGAATGTCAAATAGTTTCGATGGAAGAGGACCTTGAAGGGACCCAAACTCCATAACCCTTCAGCAAAGTGAAGGTTAATCGGTGAAAATTCTTGTTAGATTATATATTATAAGTTCAGGAAACAGTTAATAAGAGAAACTCTTATTTGTAATTAATAACTTACAGAGTGGTGAGTGATTGCAGAGTTATGAACCAAGTTGGAGCATCAGAAGGATCAAAAGAGTTGTTACTAAGATCTCTGCACAAGTTTACAGATTGATCAGCTTTACGTGAATAACAATTATTAAAGAAAAAGAAAACTGAAACACCAACCCTTGCAAATTACTTACACATAGTTGAGGGTATCCATTCCAGTTAAGTCAGGTAGAGGACCTGTGAAATTGTTATGAGCTAAATTCCTGAAAGAGATAAAAACTTTATAAATCTCCATTAATGTTATTCTAAAATCCTTTTACATCTCAAACATAAGTACCCACAATTCATTGATGTTTGTAAGGTTGTTGAGATTTGATGGGACCTCTCCTGTCAGGAAATTCCTATCAAGCCGTCTGTTATAAATTAGAAAAAGTAGGGAAAATTATCATAAAAAATTAAATCAAACAAAAGGGAAAAAATATTTAAGAAAATAAAAGGAAAATTAGAAATTTGAAGGAAGGAATCACTTACAGAACCTCAACAGTCTTAACTTGTACCAATGTTGAAGGTATAGTCCCACTTAAATTATTCCCATCAAACAATCTGTCACAAAGCAAAGCAAAAGTTCTAAAGTTAATATTATAAACTAACAGAAAATGATGCCAAAATAAAAATGTCAACTTACATGTGTATGAGTATCATCTCAGAGCTGAAAAGCTTGGGGGGAATGGAACCTGAAAGCTGGTTCTTATTGAAATGGCTAAAAAATAGAAATCATAACACTGAATCAGTACTCAATGTGCTGCTATTTACACATTGCTCTTTGCTGCACTAACTTAAAGGTAATCACAAGAGTTAACTGAAAAAAAAAGACTCACAAGTGTTTAGCCTTTAAAAGAAGGTCTAATCCAGGGGAGGTGGAGGTTGAAACTGGGATAGGACCTGTCAGCTGATTGTCTGCCAAGTCCAACCAATAAATTTTGGAGAGTTTACCCAACGAAGGAGGTATTTTTCCAGTGAAGTTGTTTGAGTTTAAAGCCCTGAAAAGTTCATTGAGAAGGGTATGGTTTCAAAATCACTTTTTTTTTGCTGTGCATGTAAATGCTTTTTCCAAGGTTATTCTTACAGGAAAGATAACTCTGAAAGATTTCCTAATTCATCTGGAATATTGCCACTGAAGCCGCAACCAGCCAAAATCCTGAAATAGGAAAGGAAGGCCTTATGGAAATCACTAGAAGTTGCATGAAATGACATCTTGAAATTATATGGTTTCGTCAATCTTACAGGATATTTAGCTTGCTTAGTTCTCCTAACTCTGGAGAGAGAGGACCTGTTAAATCTCTATTAAAGGACAAATCCCTGCAGTTAAATAATGCTCAATGTTAATTAGCACAAAACATGCTTTGGAAAATTGTTTCTCCTTTTCTATAACAAAAGTTGAGTCAAAATGTAATGGTGGAAATCTGCTCTGGAGATTGTGTCCTTGAGGCAAGTTAGATTAGTAGCATAGTGCAACAGTTTTCCTAGTCCATAGTTTCATTGAAAAGAAACAGAAAATCATACTTACAAGGATCTCAGTTCTGTAAGTTGACCAATATCTCCACTTAATTTCCCCTTCAGGCCCATTGTTGACAGTCCTCTATAATCAAAATGCACACAACAACAAAGTACTTTTCTTAAAATTACTACAAAAAGTGATAAAAAGGGTGACAACAAATCAACGTACTAAGGAACACCAGGATCAATAACGTTTAATGGCTGGATTATTACAATGAAGTAACCCTTGATTTGTTGCAGGTCACTCCTTCCCATGGTGCTCCACATGGGTCATCTGATTTGTCCCAACTGGGCGGTGTATTTTGCCATACATCTTTTAGTGATCTAAGTGCAACAACTGCAAAAGGTGCATAATCAATAAGCAAGGTGCAAGAAAGTAATCACTTATTCTATAAGGGTGTCTTTGATTTGCATGAGTTTTTCAAATCAGATCATGAGAAATATGTAAGATGATTGGAGTAACGAGAAAAAGGGACCGTATATATGCTTATCAATGATGATATAGATGGAAATATCTGACCAAGAAAAGGGATGGCATGGAATATTACCGTCTGCAGTTTCAGTGTATGAAGAAATGACATGAATTTCAGCCCACAAGAATCCCAGAAAAAGCAGCACACGAAGGGTTGTCATGTTAAGAAGAGTTTTCTGAGGTCCTCAACTCAACTGTTTCTGACTTTTGCACAAACCTTAATATGATGAGACAAAGATATTTGCTTCAGGTAACACAAGGATAAGCATTGCATGGAAAATGTGGCAACATTAAGAAGCAGCAAAGAGAAATGTTGCAGCTTGAGGAAGAGGAAGAGGAGGCAGTCAAAAAAAATAGCAGCTAGCTTGTGAAAGGAAAAAGAGAGAAAAAGCTTAACTAAGCACTTTCCTAGTCCATTTTATTGATTTTCCTTGTCTTAGAAGCTAATCTATCCAATCCCAATGTTGGCACTACCTATAACATCATCATCATAGTCTTTGCTACTTTTTCACTCTCCAAACTCCAATTTTATCACAAACGAATTGCCTTCTTTCCCTTTCCTTCACTCCTCAACCAATTGTGCCAAATCAATGGAATAATGCTTTTGGGTTTTGACTCTAAGTATTTTGTCATCATTTTTCTTTATTAATGACCAATACAAAATATCTCTTGCAACATGTTATTGCTCTTCCCATGGCTTCTCCTTCAGTTGATGTTACATCAACTTATTGACAGCAGTTGGGTTGGTGTGAGATGGTCCCACACCACTAAATACTGTAGACCTAACCATGAATTCTGGCACAAGTTTACCAACATTTATAATCTTAAACCATTTTCAATTTTATGTAATTTTGTGTTATTGTCTGGTAGAGTATATTTCAATCTATGATCTATTGTTCACTTCAATTTTTATGGTCTTCCAATGTCAAATAAAGTTTAATATTTTAAACAAAAAATTACTCTCATCTTAATATTGTTATTATGGATGTTTAACTTAATTTTATAAATCTTATACTTAACTTGAAATATTTCTATTAACGTCTCTTTTCGGTAGCATTTAAACAATGTTACTTGAGTTTCAACAACTTTTTAATGAATATCAACTGTGTGAAAAACGAGTTTGCTAAGTGTGATACGTTTTAGCGACAATAAAGAATCAAACTATGTTTTCAAGCACAAGCTCTCAAAATAGGTCATCTGACCAGTTCATAAGTTAATTTTTCAGTGATTAAAATTCAATCTGGTTTATTTATTAATGTGTCTAAAAAATTTAAATTTGATCATAAATTAATAATTAAAATCTCACTTAATTATAATTATCTTTTAATAAAAAAATATTTTTTTAATTAGAACATAAATAAATTTTAATCTAAATATAATTTAAAATGATATTAAATTCCAAATATAATATAAAATCACAAAAATACAATTTAATTAAAATACATTTATGTTATATTGGTTCTGAAGTAATATAATGTTGTTGTTCATTAGCAAGGACGAATTTAAGATCACTTGCATGTTCACTTTAAAGGATATGAGAGTGATTGAAAGGACAAATTTGCGTGATTTCTTATCTTCCCTCATCTGCTCAGATTTACAATTATTTACCATCAATTTTCTATTTCACTCTTATGTATTACTCTTTTGAATGTAAAGGATTCACACAGCATGAATTATTCAAAACAATTAATAATAATAATAATATTATTATTATTATTAGTATTATTTCAATTTACTAATTTATCATTTTTATTACGTTTTAAAAATTAATTTTTTCCTTATAAACATATATACAAATATATATATATATATATATATATATAT